ATGCTTCTCAAATAACGTCTAAATGTGGTCTGGACACTAGATCCTAACAAATATTTCAGATGAACCCTTTATGTAAAATAGAGAGACCGCAGAATATTTGTATTGCTGTTCTCGATTCATCTGTCATTGCTGTTTACTTGTGAGATAGTTATTACCTTGAAAGATGTTTCCTGATGGTTTATGTCTAGGTGCCAAATTAAGGGCTTTGTCGAATGTTGCAGGTATAGGGCAATCACATTCTTTTACTGTATGGATGGTGGGTGTATGGATGGTGGGTTATTCCTGGTTGAATGCTGGAGTAATGGATAGCTGCTCGGATTGAGAAATCGAAGAGCCGAGTTCGAATTCCAGTCGAATCCATTACATTCACTTACATGTTAATACCCTTGGGAGAGGTATGAATTCTCTTCTCTCTCCAGCTATGGGTAAATAACAGGACAGACTGGGTTTTATAGCCTTGGATGGCAACTGGTCTAGGAGAAGGACAACTCTGAATTCAAAACAAAAATTTGATACTCTATGGATAGCAGCTAGGATTGAGGAATCGGAGAGCTGAGTTCAAATTCCAGTTAAATCCATTACATTCACTTACGTGTTAATATAATACCCTTGGGAAAGGTATGAATCCTCTTCTTCTCCCCCACCCTCAGCTATGGTAGATAGAAGGACCGACCGGGTTCTAGAGCCTTGGAATGCAACTGGTCTACCGCAGAAAGAAATGGCAACCTACTGCGGAAAAAATCTGCCTCGTCAGTCATGTATCGAAAGATACATGATCGCCTAAGTATGTATAACGCATGGCACATAACTGACTGAGTGACGTGCTAATACCCTTAGTATGAATTCTCTTCTTCTGAGCTATGGGTAAATATCAGAGCAGACCGGGTTCTATAGCATTGGATGGCAACTGGTCTACCGCAGAAAGAAATGGCAACCTACTGCGGAAAAAAATCTGTCTCGTCAGTCATGTATCGAAAGATACATGATCGCCTACTTGTGTATCACGCATGGCATATAACTGACTGACTGAATGGAAAGTATTATTGGTCTAGTATTATTTACACGGCTTCCTAAGAGTGTTAGCGTATGAAGGTGTTGTTTAGATGTCTAAGCCACATCGTTGGCTTTTACTGATGTCGTTTCTATATATATTTCATTGAATTATTCCATATATATATATATATATATATATATATATATATATATATTCACCCTTAATGGAAATAATGGTGATCACATAGCTAAGCCATCTTTCTGTCGGTATTTTTACGTAATTGGAAGTACGTTGTTTTCACATCGAATGTTAATACCTTTATCATGGTGGGGCGTTTACTAAAGTGAAGTTCAGATTTCTTAGAAATGGGTCCGATTAGAATTTGTCTTCTATAGAAAGTACAACAGTTGAAACGTTGTGAGCACAACAACCAAAATGCGTATACTAGTTCAAATAAAAAAACAAAAGAAATAATTACTACCACATTATCCTGTAGTCTAACTTAACTGCCATATTTGAGCTGAAGCTTCCTAATCGACAGTTTCCAGTATTGAGAGAATTCAAAATCGTTTACACGGCCTCTTGAGGGTGATCTGTTTTCCACGCTGCACTCCCTTTCTTCACCGACACAACGTCATCGCTACTTTCATGGCAAATGATCAAAAAACTCCATTCTTTACTCCCACCAGTTCAAACCTTTACAACCAAGACCCTCCCTTGCTACGTCCACAATGTTGGCTCACCCTCGTTCTCTACGTATTCGAATTGGTAAGAAAGATGTGTCCCACTCAAAGAGTTCTTTCCAAAGAATCGCTACCTTCTGACTCTCGCGTGGATTCACACCCGAATACTTAAATCTTAACTTCTTCAAATCAAAATTCAATCACAATTTATCCTCATAATATCCACTTCCTAGTTTCTCCTCTTACGCTCATATCCCACACTTCAATCAGTAACCCTCTACTTTGAGTGGCTCTTGGCTCTTGTAATGTGTGAACATTAGTATAAAATATCGCCAGGCCGTCTTGGTGCCAAAAGTACTAAATCTCTACTCTGGATGCCCAGACAAATCGTCATGGAAAAGCGCGCAGCTAAAATTGTTCCAAAAATGGAGGAAAACAATTTAAACTGAACAATAAGCGGAACTGATATTTATTTTCAAAGTCCTTGATATATTGGCTATAAAATTGCTTAACGACGATTGCTTGAGGCTGACTAATTCTCTTAGGTTTGTACAGTTTATGGAAGTGTTAACAGTGTGAATTCTGGAATCATTTCAAAGTGTTCCTTCAGGTGAAAGAGAGGAACGGTTAGACCAAAGCTATGAACTTGTTGCCTCAGTTACCGAACTAATCTTGCAAGAATTTTGTTTTTCTTCCTTCATCGCATCTTGTACATGCAGTTTGAGGTTTATTTTCATTGTATACAGCGCGATTGTTATTTCACTGTATACAGCGCGATTGTCACTGGATATTAACGCACGACCTTTGATTGATGTTTGTTTCGAACTAGGGGGTTAAGTATATTCTACAAGTTTTAAAATTTAAATAAGGAGTTAAAATTCATTAAGGAACAGTGGTTACATAACTGTCCCAACTTGTATACAGACACTTGAAACGCACATGGTCTTAGATTAACTCTATGCTTTTAATGTGTTCGTCTAAACTAGGACAGAGAATTGTTTCCCTTCTCCTTTATAAAAACAGAGCATCCAGTGAAGAACGAACTCACTATAAATGCATCTGCAGACCAGTACGCTAACCACCGCCCACTTTTCGACATTCTTTTGTTCCACATATACAAATAGTTTAATTACGTTGACAGCTATGGTTAGATCACGCACAGGCTAAATGTAAGACTTTGTTGTAATCAGTTCATCCCAAGTAAGGCGATAAAGCCACTAAGATGCAAAGGGATACTGGGAGTGAAAGAGAATGAGAAGAATTTAAAAGAAAGGGGTTACAGAGAGTGGGAGAAAGAGTAAAGAGGCGTGAAAGAGGAAAGAATGAAGAGAAGAACAAGGAATTAGATCAAGGCATCTGGAGATGTTGATTGACATTGCATTTGTATTGTTGAAGATTGTAGCTATCAGGGAAACAAGTAAAAGGAAAGGAGTTCCACAGACGGGCAGTGCGAGACATTTAACCGTTTTGACAGTGAAAGGATGAGACTGGGATGCAAACCTAGTAGCACGTTTAAATTCATGCAGTTTGGGAACCAGTGAAAGTAGCTCGTCAGAGCACTTACCATGAAATTATTTGTAGAAAAGACAGAGGGAGACGATGGCATGTCTGTGAGAGAACAACTGTAAACGAAATGCCATATCAAGGCCAACCTCATTGCATGTCCGTCTCTGAATTTTGTCGTGGCTCTACACCATATATGACAGCAATATTCCATGCAAGGCGAATGGTTGATTTATATATTTGAAAGATGGGCTCGGGCGAGAAAAGTTTTCTGGCGCGACTCAGAGAACCAACTTTCCTTGAGGTAGATGAAGGTATTGATTCAGTGTAATTGTTCCATCTCAGGTCAGCCAATAGTGTGAGACCAAGCAGGAATGGGAGGCAGGAAGGATTCTTTGTGGTGAGTAAATGAGAGCAGTTTTATTTTTTTGAGGCATTAAAGTTAGCCAGTCAATTCCTGTACCAGTCAACAACAGATTGAAGATCCGTTTCGAGACCAACGGCCAGGTTAGTTTTGTTAGCGACACCAGATTTGCTATTGCTATCGCTTTCTGATAGATTTCTGTTATCATCATTCATTCAGTTAGCGAATTTTGCGTCACTAATCCACCTCCATCTCAAAATTGTGGGACATTCAAGGCAAAGTAGTGTAATAGCGAGCCGATTCCTTTTACACAGCGATGTTGATATTAACCCCGTATCTTCGCTCAGAAAAATCAAGACCAACAAGGCAGTAAATTATTTCTTCATTTGGAAAAGGTATAGGCCCCAGTCAATCATGGAAGAGATAGATTCATACCTTTCAAAATGAAATGGAATTCGAACTTGGCCCTGCGATTTTTAATCCGAGCCGCTATCCATGACTCCACCGTCCCTGAACCATTTATTTAACTTGTGGAAACCAAGTCGTTTCCAGTCGATCGTTGTCTATACATGATTGTTATTATATACCGTTCGAGTCAGTTTTCAGCTGTCATGAAAGCGAAAAAGCACACAGAGAACAAGGAAAGAAAGAGAAGATTCAGCTTATTTTAATAAAATGAATGACCGGCATCCCTTCTGACTCGTATATCTGCAAGGATTGTTTAGTTTGAACAACTAATGCACTGCTGATACGTCGCCATCTTTACGTTAGTGTCGCAGCAACACCAAATACTTTCGATCTTAAAGATGATTTACAGCCACATACATATAACATTTAATAAAGATCTCATTTTCCCATATGATACGGATCCATGTTAATATTGGGATAATATTTGAACAGTATAATATTTATTATTATAATTATGATAATATTATGGCATAAACATTTATTAATGATCCGGTTCTAAGAGGCGAGTCCGCACATGCATGTGTGTGTGTTTTAAGCATTTCACCCCAAGCAAAGCGAAAGAACAAAGAAGAGATTCAGCTTCTTTTAATCATTTTGTTTTTTTTTTTTTTTTTTTTTTTTTTGAGGCATTAAAGTTAACCAGCCATTTTCTGCTCCAGTCAACAACCGATTGGAGGCCAGGTTAGTTTTGTAAGCGATACCAGGTTTAACAGTAACTTGATGATTAAAGCGTTCGTATATGAATTTGGTGACAATTATTATGAGTTAATTATTGAAAAGTTTCACTGTGTGCTAGACAACCCAGAAGCACAATGCAAATCTCAGGAATGTACAATTATCATGTGAGACCTGAATGTCAAAGTTAGGAAGGAAAGAGATGATAAAATAGTTGGAATATTCAGATTAGGAACTCGAAATGAACGCGGATAAAAATGGATCCAATGGTGCAACACTGTGGAAACGGCTCAGGTATTCCCATCGAGACGGGATGCGACTCAAGGCCAGTTGTTTAACGTGGGATACCCAAACGCGGACACTCGAGTCACTGGTCAAAATATTGATCAATTTTTACCCAGCCCCCGTTTGCGCGGGATCTGGCACAAAGTTCGTCTTAGCGGAACAGATACTACATTATGATCATAGTCTCTGACCGCGGAAAAGAAATGGGTATTTTTACCAATGACAATTTTTAAATTAACCAATATTTTTACGAATGATACAAGTGTACGCCCTCGGGTTCCCCACGTTAAATAACTAGCTTTGTTTTCGCATCCCGCCCCAATTGGGGAGCAGTGGGTAAATACCCATGCCGTTTCGCGGTCATGACAAGATCAGACAAGCTTTGTGCCCGAGCTAGGAAAATTTTGACCAGTGGCCCGTGCGTATGTGTTCGGGTTCCTCATTTTGTGACTTTGTGTCGCATCCCGCCCCAGTGGTGATGGGAGGCATGGGTAAATACTCATGCCATTCGCGACCCAGAGGCAATGATCACAGTGTAATATCTGTTTCATGGATATGACCAGCTAAGACAAAATTTCAGTAATCGTGGGCTGAGTACATGTTAACCAATTACCCGAATGTATACGCCCGGGTTCCCCACATCAATAAATAATTGACCTTATGTTGCATACCACCCCAGTGTGTATATGGGGGGCATGGGTAAATACCCATGCTGTCTGCGACCCAGAGACTATAATCAAAGTGTAGTATCTGTTCCACGGATATAACCAGCTAAGAAAGCTTTGTGTCGCGTCCCGCCCCAGTGGAGGTGGTGGTTGTGGGTAAATTCTACGGCCATGACAAGCTAAGACAATCCTTGTGCCCGATCCCGCATAAGCGGGGACTGGGTAAATTCTCACCGGCGAAATCAGAACTAGTTCAGACGAACATTATTCATGAATTTCAATTCCCAATATCAAACTGCATTCCTATCGGACACACATCTCTGATCAACCGCTGACCCGACATCTCTGATCAACCGCTGACCCGACATCTCTGATCAACCGCTGACCCGACATCTCTGATCAAATGCTGACCCGGCATCTCTGATCAACCGCTGACACTACATCTCTGATCAAACGCTGACCCGACATCTCTGATCAACCGCTGACACTACATCTCTGATCAAACGCTGACCCGACATCTCTGATCAACCGCTGACATTACATCTCTGATCAACCGCTGACACTACATCTCTGATCAACCGCTGACCCGACATCTCTGATCAACTGCTGACCCTACATCTCTGATCAAACGCTGACCCGACATCTCTGATCAACCGCTGACACTACATCTCTGATCAAACGCTGACCCGACATCTCTGATCAACCGCTGACACTACATCTCTGATCAAACGCTGACCCGACATCTCTGATCAACCGCTGACCCGACATCTCTGATCAACTGCTGACCCTACATCTCTGATCAACCGCTGACCCGACATCTCTGATCAACCGCTGACACTACATCTCTGATCAACCGCTGACCCGACATCTCTGATCAACTGCTGACCCTACATCTCTGATCAAACGCTGACCCGACATCTCTGATCAACCGCTGACCTACATCTCTGATCAAACTGACCCGACATCTCTGATCAACCGCTGACCTGACATCTCTGATCAACCGCTGACCCGACATCTCTGATCAACCGCTGACCCGACATCTCTGATCAACCGCTGACCCGACATCTCTGATCAACTCCTGACCCTACATCTCTGATCAAACGCTGACCCGACATCTCTGATCAACTGCTGACACTACATCTCTGATCAAACGCTGACCCGACATCTCTGATCAACCGCTGACCCGACATCTCTGATCAAACGCTGACCCGACATCTCTGATCAAACGCTGACCCGACATCTCTGATCAAACGCTGACACTACATCTCTGATCAACCGCTGACACTACATCTCTGGTCAAACGCTGACCCGACATCTCTGATCAACCGCTGACACTACATCACTGATCAACCGCTGACCCGACATCTCTGATCAACCGCTGACCCGACATCTCTGATCAACTGCTGACATTATATCCCTATGACCAGAACTTCATACGGACACATTTTGTCCCAACGTACGTCTCTTTTATGTTCGTAGATGTAGGCTTTTAGATTTACAGATGTTTCGTCTATTTAGCTTTTCCAACTTGCAGGCCATTTATATTATACATCCAGGCATCCGATGTGGTGTTGGATCGAATTTTCTTTCTTACTCTACCTGTGATCATCTTGGAGATAATTCGTTTGTTTACAAATGTTGTAGATTTAGCGTTGGGGGGTAAGATCATGAAATTTGTCTTTTTGCTATTGGAGGTTCTTATGTTGTCGGAAGTGCTTACTTTTTTGGACTTGTGGATTTTGCATGTTCTTTTTCTAGAGCTAATGATGGAATTATGTGGATATTCTACACGGTTTTTCAATGTATTTCTTCTTTTTCATCTAGGTATTTTAGGCTAAATCTTCTGAGGGTCCTGTGGTAAATCCTAATTCTAGGATTAGTCCTGACCTTGTTTTTTTGGCTAAGGGTAGGCGGAATAGCAATTGATTAAACCATTTTTATTAGTTAGTGGCGAATTTTAAAATCTAATTTATTGTTTCGTATTAATGAGATATCGAGGAAAGGTAGAATTTTGTCTATTTCATGCCCACGTGTGAATACAAAGGTTCGTTCTACATGAATATGAAATAAACAAAATACTGACTCTATAACTTATATTTTGGCCAAAAGGATTAAAGATTTTAATTATTCCGCCCATATACTTAAATTATTCGAGGTCCTGATCTGGCATCTCGTCTACAGTCACTTTCTCACAGACGTGCTGTGGCTTCCCTCTGTCTTTTCTACAAATATTTTCATGTGACGAGCTACTTTTACTGGTATCCAAACTGTATGAATTTAAGCGTGCTACTAGGTTGGTATCTCAGTCCCACCCTTTCACTGTCGAAACGGTTAAATGTAATCGCCTCTTCTATTCCAACAGCTTCTTATCTTGCACTTTCCGACAGTGGAACTCCCTTCTTTTTACTTACTTCCCTGATAGCTATAATCTTCAAATATTCAAATGTAAGGTCAATCGACATCTGATGCCTTGATCTTGATCCCCGTCCTTCTCTTTATTCTTTCCTAAAACACCCCTTTTTACACTTGCTCCCACTCTCTGCAACCCCTTGTGTGCTAGTGGCACTCCCGCCTTGCTTGGGTGATATGTTTGAAAATTATATATATATATATATATATATATATATATATATAAACAGTAATAATCGATGTTAACCCCTAATTAGGAGAGAACAAACCTTAGCTATGACATCAACCGAAATAGGAACTCGTCCCATTCACCTAGCTCACTGGAATGTTCTTAGCGTGGGAAGGCAATTCCCCGTTTTGGATGTGATATATAAGAGAGATAAAACGCGTGAAAAGATTTGACATTCAAAATTACACCCGAAATATAGCCTTAAAATAAGAGTCAACTGAGGAAGACCGGAGAAAGGGAAAAAATAGGAGAGTAAGGCGATAAAGACATGGAAATGAGTTCAAAATGCAATGATTAAAACGAACGGTGGCACTTTTTTAAGCGTATCTTAGATGTGGAACATGGTCGAAATTATGAAACACCCGGTGAGAATTGAACTCACTATTTTGTGATAAGTGGTCTAAGCTCGCTAACCACTACACCACGTCGAAGAGAGCCGGCAGGCAAAGCATATATTCTAAAAATAAAGTCACCCATGAACATAAATTTTATCTTTAGCAGATAAGCAAATCCAAAACAGTATTTTGAAATGTTTTTGGAACTCAAGCTCATGAGATTCAGAAAAAAATCTATTGAAATAATTCTAAAATATTCTGATGGAAAATATTAAATTTCTTGTTTTGAATAAAACGATTTTTTTTAACTGAAAATCAGTGTTCTTTTTTCAATTAAAAATAGTCTGATTACGAATAATGGAAGGGTCTATTTCTTCAAGAGCGAACCTATTTTCCATTGCAAAGTAATACCATCGATCTGGTACTAAGCCTAGAATCCTGCGTTGCAAGCCCGTGGGCTAAAGTTCCAAATAGCATTCGTGTTCTCAAGATTGCTTTCGACAGAAGTTCGTTGTATTGAATAGAAAGACGCTCGGAAGAAGAGCATCTCCCGTTCAATTTGTTCCATTGCTTTGTGTTACGGACTTGAACCTAATGAATCTTTCTATCGATCTGGGTGATTAAAGAAAACCGCTTGATTTTCAACGTGAGAAAGACGACGGGCTGGGAAGAGAAAAGAAATGAAGGAGTTAAGCTTTAGAAGAAAGAAAGACAGAAAGAAAGAAATATTGTATCCTGGGGCTATTTGGAGAAGCGGAGCGTTTCAGAAGTCATCTCCACGTTTGTCTTGCCTTAAACAACATAACCAGAAGGCACGTTTTCTTTTGTTTTTCTTTTCTTCTTCTTCTTCTTCTTCTTCTTCTTCTTCTTCTTCTTCTTCTTCTTCTTCTTCGCTTCCTATTGCCATGGAAACGTCTGATAAATGGAAATTGACGCCGTGGCAAGAATGGAAAGGCCATCCATTGTTGCTCTCAACGAGTTGACTAAAAAAAAACACGTTGTACGCAAGCACGAACACGCGTGTACACATGCGTCTGGCGTATACACCAACTTGTCTCATATTTTCTGTTTAGTTCAATATATCATTGCATTCTACACTAAACACTCATAAGCTGATGGGGGCCTGTCAAAAACCAAGGACTATACTGTTAGTCATGTATTCCATTGTTAATGAGTTCATATTTAATTGTAGGCTACATTGTCGTGGTTCTGTGCCTGACTCAGTTGAGCAAAGTAAATGTTACTGCTCCAATGTGCTCGATACAGCACGCACACTGCTCTGTGAGTTTATATTCTTTTATATTTTCACGTCCTCCATTTTTTTTCTTCCTATTTGTGCTATTTTTTCTCCTTTTTTCATTCATTTCCCTTTTTCTTTCTATTCTTTGTTTCTTTCTTTATTTCTTTTCTCACTCAAACTTTTTACTCTCTTTCTATTCTTTTCTTTCTTTTTGGTTTCTCTTTCATTGTTTGTAGTTCTTTTCTTCCCTTTCTGTATTTCTCCCTTTCCATTAACTATCTTTATCGCTCCTCCTCCTTTGCTTTCTTTCCTTCTTTTTCTTTTTTTTTTTTTTTTTTTTGTTTTTTTTTTTTTTCTCTTTTGCTAGTTTTAGTTTCTTGCTTTCCGTTTTCGTTCCTTTCTTTATTTCTTCCGGTGATTTTGTTCTTAATTTTATATTTTTAATTATGTTCTTTCTTTCTTTCTTTCTTTCTTTCTTTCTTTCTTTCTTTCTTTCTTTCTTTTTAGATTCTCTAACATCGCCTCGATTACTTTCTTTCTTTCACTTGTGCTACTTTGGTTTCTTTCTTTCTTACATTTTTTATTGTTTATGCATCATTTTTTAATTCAGTTCATTCGTTTCTCTTTTTCATTCTTGCTTTTTTTCTTTATTTCCTTTATTTTCGTTCTGAATAATTTTTTTCTTTAGATAGATAGATAGCTATGAACAGACTGAGATAGATAGATAGATAGATAGATAGATAGATAGATAGATAGATAGATAGATAGAATGTGAACAGACTGAGATAGATAGATAGATAGATAGATAGATAGATAGATAGATAGATAGATAGACTGAGATATGAACAGATGAGATAGATAGATAGATAGATAGATAGATAGATAGATAGATAGATAGATAGATATGAACAGACTGAGATAGATAGATAGATAAATAGATAGATAGATAGATAGATAGATAGATAGATAGATATGAACAGACTGAGATAGATAGATAGATAGATAGATAGATAGATAGATAGATGAACAGACTGAGATAGATGAGAGATAGATAGATAGATAGATAGATAGATAGATAGATATGAACAGACTGAGATAGATAGATAGATAGATAGATAGATAGATAGATAGATAGATAGATAGATAGATAGATAGATATTTCTTTTTACATATTTATATATGTTTCTTTTTTTTTTTACTTATCTCCATTTCACTGGTCGCCTTGGCACGCACATGCCCGATATTCAAATACGCTTCTCTTATGCCGTCTTATCTATTTCGAGACGTGTTCATTGTATCTCTTCTATAGACTTGTCTTTAATTATCCTTCTGCTCTTCCATACTTGTTTACTGTTGTTGGTTTGTGTAAAATCTCTTCGATCCCATGAACGCTTCTCCCTTCTGAAGACCACCATATTGTCAACAGAAGAAATGATGAAACTCTAAAATGAAAAAAGACAAGAGACTTTCGCAAATCTAAAATTCCTTTTCAGGAGGAATATGTCTAACAGGAATGAATCGAAGAATAGCGGTTAGTAAAATCAAAGATATACTTGCCACAAAATTCTGTTACTTTTCAATCAATCTTTCTCCACTATTTGTCTCGATCAATCCGTGTTTATTAATCGTTAATATAAACTTAAATCGTATCCTCTCTACTATTTTTTGATTGTCACAGTCGATTTATCAATCTAGCTCATTATTTTTTTCTATTTTAAAATATTATTTAGTTTGTTAGTTTAAGAATCTGTTTGGAGACTGCTTGCTGGTTTGTCGTTGTCTGGGATTTTCTTTCGGGCATAGAAAATGTTCCGACCTCAAGAAGAGACGTCAGTTTTGTCTAGCATAAAATTATATGAAGTAAATATATAACACTCGATCTTCAGAATTAAGGCTGAAGATTTTGAGACGGATTTCGAAATGAATAGAGTCAGTAAATCCCTAATGCTAGAAGTATGTTAAAACCGGAATACCAGCAGATGATTTTTAAGGTGTTAAGTCTTGGTGTAGCATGACCTTCTGACTTTCGTTAATATACTTGTACGAGGGTGGGGTGAAAGATTAAAAAGCTGACGATGGATGGAGGGGACTAGAGCTATGAAATCTTGCATACATTAATTTCAACCCTTCAATATATATATATGTATGTGGGGGTATGTGTGTATGTGTGTGTGTGTGTGTGTGCGCGCATGCGTGCTTCGTTGAATACGACGAACAAGAAATATTGTGAAATTGTCTAGTTTTCTACTGCCCTTACATTTTTTTTCCTTTTGGGGAATGTACAAAGGAGATTACACACTCAACCTTCATAAAAGAAAAGTTGTAAGGTCACGAGAAAAAGTGTCTATGAAATTCAATGAAAAAATAATATAATGATTGTTGCTAAAGTATACAATATATATATATATAAAGACATTTCTTTTGTTTACACGTTCTTTTTATATATGCAAATATTTAAGTAAATGCTCTGTTTATAATAAACAGTATTTACCGGCCTGGATTTCCGAGATATTTTCATAGAAAATATGCGTCCTCCGACAGGAATCGAACCTCTATCCTATACGGAACCATCATATAGCCTGATGTGCATTTACCGATTGACCCACAGAGGAGTGTTTCGGCTAGCAAGGTCGAGTTTACTGTTTTTAAACTACAATTCTCCGTGATTTTTTCTCATAAATTCATATCTGCTCGATGCGTATCCAAATGTAAACAAATGACGTCACACATTATGTAATGGAGAATTGTAGTTTAAAAACAGTAAAATTGACCTTGCTCCCCGAACGATATATATATATATATATATGTGTGTGTGTGTGTGTGTGTGTGTGTGTGTGTGTGTGTGTTGTGCATATTTAGGCAGCAATTTTTCATTAATGCATGTTTCATTAAATAATATAGAAAAGTTTTGTCTATTTATTTTAAGTAAGTTCCTTTCATATCGTCTGATAAGCTTAATAACATTATCATTGAAGGACGAAAGGAAATCACCATATTGATACATGTTTAAATCCAATCTAAGCTTTCGGCTTACACAAGCCATTATCAAAGATGACAATTTCAATAAATCAAACAACACACGGACGAAACAACAATGATAGTCCGGCCTTGCTGCATAAAAATTTCAAGTAACGACCAACTCGTATAAAGGTATATCGTCTTTCAATGATAATGTTATTAAGCTTATCAGACAATATGAAAGGAACTTACTTAAAATAAATAGGCAAAACTTGTCTATATTATTTAATGAAACATGCATTAATATATATATATATATATATATATATATATATATATTATGTGTGTGTGTTTGTGTACAAAACCAGGGTGCACTGAACAAAAGCAAATCCCCAATCGCTCTTCACATCAACCAATTTAAAGTATTGACATTTATTGAAGATAAAGTTGAGTGCTTTGTTCGGATATCCTCTTTCAACTCCGCTCTAGACTCATCTGGAGTATCTATCCCCAATTCCCCACCCCACCTAGAATAGAAGTTCACTCAGTGAAGTGCGCATAACCTCGTCCTTAGTTTCTACGATCATTTATAAATTAGACAGATTTGACAGTATCCCGACAGTCGTCCTAATGAAATATGCTTCTAAAATGGCTTCTGTTCTCTCCAAACATTACAACAAATGCCTCATACTTATTGAATTCCACCTTGTTGAAATGCCTTCTCTGTAGTTCCTGTTTTTAAAACATCCGGCGAACACTGTGGCTCCTCAAAATTTCGCCATATCAGTCTGTTTCCGATTTCTGGCAAAATATTCGAGCCTCTAAACAACGCCAAATTGGCCAAGCATCTTAATTCACACGGCTTTCTTTCGGCCAAACAATATGGTTTCCATTTTGCCAAGTCTGAGCGAAAGACAAACAAAACTCCTTGTAACATCAAAGATGAAATGAAGGCAAGGATTATGGCAGCATTCACCAATTTAAACAAGACCACCCAGAAGAGCTGCAGTAGAGCTGCAGAAGATTCCGAAGTCGTCTGGAGACGGTGTTTGAAATCAATGGCGTTTTTATTGAATAAATTTACTCTTTAGTATTTCAAAATGTTTTTGCGTCATTTTGATAAAGGTATCTGTTAAAATGAGATGTCAGTGTTATTTTCATTTTTGCATAATTTAGTTGACAATTTATCCATCGCACCCTGTATGGTCTAGTGCTCCCACTGTATATCCCGAGATTCTTGACAAAATTGTCTGTAATATAATAGATCCTGATCTGGCATCTCAACTTCAGTCCCTTTCTCACTAATGTGACGTGGCTTCCCTCGGTCTTTTCTAGATACTTTCAAATCAACGGTTCTTATGAGCTTTTTTTCTGCATTTATTTAAGGATGCTATGAGATTGGCAATCATTTTACTGTTGAACTATTTCGATGCAACCGCCACTTCTACTCTAACAATTTCTTTTCTCACACTTCTCACCTGTGGATATGACTTTTGATTTCTTGCTTTCCAGTCAACTACAATCTTCAAAAATGTAAATGCATTGTTAATCGCCATCTTCTGTCTCCTTGAATCCAGTTCCTTTATTAATTTTTCCTTACTTCTCTTTACTGGAGTCTTCTCATTCACTTTCACTCTCATGGCTTTATCGCCTTTCTTGCTTTGCTTAAAAAAATTCTAGTCTTCCGCCTTTCGCCTGTCTTCCTGAAAGAATTCCCTCCCATTATTATTGTCCACCCTTCCTCTTTCTCATTTCTCCCCCTCTCTCTCTCTCCCCCTCTCTCTCTCTCTACCTACTCCTCTGTCCCCCTCTCTCTCTCCCGCTCACTTCCTCCCTCCTCCTCTTTCTCTCTCCTATACTCTCTCCCCCTCTCTCTCTCCTCTCTCCTCCTCTCTCCCATCTCCCTCTCTCTCCTTCCCCTCTCTCTCTCCCTCCCCTCACTCTCCCCCCCTCCCCCACTCCTCCTTTCTCTCCCTCCTCCCTCTCTTCCCTCCCTCCCCCTCTATTCCTCCCTCTCTCCCTCCCCTCTCTCTCATTATATCTACAGCTCATCATATCTTTGTCATTACGAAAATGTCCGCGAGTTCTTATTTGATTTCCTGTTCAAGTGAAGTAAAGATTGTTTATCATAATTCTGCTACTGAGAAATATTGTCATCCTTTTAACATTTGACATTTTCCTTTATGTAACACATGAGTCAATGACAAAGAGAAAACGCCATCTATTAAGTAAACTCTTTGACCTCTCCGATTCTCTCGATATGAATGCTGGAATAGCAAGCAAAGACTGTGGAGAAAGCTAAGTAATTAATATGGCGTGAAATCTATAATTTATAATTATTACCGTTATTTCGATGATTGCAGATAAAAAAAAAACATCTTTCGAAAACTTAATGGTTATACGAGGTCTTTTCGGAAAGGAATTACGCTATTCGAAAAATCTGTAGAATTGGTTGCGTGGTTTTGATGTAACTTCGCAATCATTAAATTTAAATATTATAATTTATAAAGAAACTTTCTTGTAGGATTGTTCAGTCGCTACCGATAAGCCATTTTAATACACACTGACCATATAGTTTTTTTTTTAAGAAAACAAAAAAACATAGCACCAAACAGGTTTGTCAGCATTCCTTCAGTACATGTCTCAC